CTATTATCATCATAACTACTATCATTATTATCAAAACTATTACTCTTAATATCATTATGTGTAAAAGATCAGCGGGAACGCTTTAATACGAATGTTGGGTGCATTTGGGATAAAATGTATGGATCAGTCATGCAGAAAGAATGGTAGGACGATGAAAACGCCTTTTTCTTAGATTATTATGAAAAATCTTTATTGTTTTCTTTCTTTCTTTTTTTTTATTATTATTTTTTCAACTACGTGACGTATGATATATTTCGTAGAAATGAATTTAAAAGGCATTTTTTTTTTATCAGGTAGCGTCACCTAAATCTTAATCATCAGCAAATCATAATTATTATTCACTTTCTGGTAATCACCAGAATATCTTAATCATCATTACTTTTAGGGCATCAGCAAATCGTAATTACGACTAATTCTTCCAATATTTACAGAGCTTGGGTGAATGGTCTTATTAGAAAGTCAGAGAACACTTCTGAATTCTTTTATTCAAAGTTGAAGCGTAATAAAAATATGAAAGTAGAAATCCACCCTTTAAACAGAAAAGAACTAAAAGGAACGGAAAAACATTTCCTTCCTAAGAACCATATTCAACTAAGAGTTCCGCTTGACTCACGAAATTTAAAATGAAAGCCACTCACGAAATATGAGTAAAACGAAGAAGAGGGCATCAGCCTATCACTGACCTGCTCTAAGATAAATGTATCTGGGTGAATAGTTAGTCACCAATGGATAATTCACATAACCTTAATATGCGGATCGAAGCGTGCTGCAGTATTACTGTAGAATCAGTACAAATCCCTAAATCAAGCACACACACAAAGGGAGGACAGCGTAGTCTGAGTTGTCTCCAGCCTTAGCCTGCAGCAACTACTGCTCGAAAGGGTGAAACTTCTTTGCCAGTGATGAGAATTTGATCTTGTGTTTCTGGGTAGGCAAATCCTCAAAGAGTTTTTTCAAAGTATTCATAAAAAAAACTGAATAAATAAATGACAATAATGTTTAAAGCTGATGTCAGTTAAACGAAAAATTAAAGACATACATATATATGTATATATATATTCATGATATTTCCCTTGATATTAGTGTCTCCTGTTATTGGCGTTGAAGTGGAGGATTGTAGTAAAATATATTTCAGTTATGATATATCCATGGTGAGTAACAGCCTCGTAAGAGACGCAGTGACATCTCTTTCATTCATCTAACCAGCTTTTAACACATAGTTAAATATGGCGTGTGGCCCCCGTAGATTTTGTCACATATAAGACCCGCAGACTTTTCGCCTGTGTCCTTCATAATAGGGTCTAATGATTATGCCGAGGGAGAAACCAATAAATATTTTTATTCTTTAAATAGAGAGATGGACAACTGGCATCATACCACCAAGTCAACTACATTATTATTATTGGTGCTCTTCAAATTATCCAATATCTGCATAACGCTGTTATTACTAATATCTTTAACTGTGTTATCATTATCAATATAGTTCAAAATTGGAACGCTTGAGAAATGACAGTTTCATAAGGGAGGATATGGAATCAATGATTCTATTTTATGCAATAATTTTCTTAGGTTCTGTTAAGGATAGTTGAGATTTTGCCATGTCAGCAATTTTATGTAATTATTGTTGTTATCATTATAATTAGTAGGAGTATCATCTTAATAATAGTGATAATGAAAAATAATAAAAATAATTATCATTATTATTATCAATCATATGACAATTGCCATCATTACTATTATCATTATTGCTATCATTTTCATTATTCTTATCACGGTGATGACTATTATTATCACTATCAATATTACTTCTTTTATTATCATTACCATTATTATCCCTATGAATAATATTGTTGTTGCTGTTATTGTAGGCGATGTTTTCGTTATTCTTGTCATTGTTATTATCTATACTATTGTTATTATTATCACTATTTCTCTTACCATTATTATCATATTTGTTGTTATTGTTATTATTATTACAAATATTGTTATTATCCTTATCCTTATTATTATTAAATTTGTTTTATTGTATTCACTTTATCATTATTACTGCTATTATCAATATTGTTATTATCCTTATTACTGGTATTACTATTATCATTGCTGTTGATGTATTGTTCCTTTATTATTACTGTTATTATTGTTATCCTTATTATTAGTAATAATGATAATGTTATTATTGCTATTGTTATTAATATATTTATTATTATTATTATTATTATTAATATTATTGTCACTATTATTTGTATTAACATTATTGTCGTCATCATCCTCATTTTCCTCCTCCTCCTCATTATTATTATTACTATTATTGTTATTATTATTATTATTATTATTATTATTATTATTATTACTATTATTGATTATTAATTATTATTATTATTATTATTATTACTATTATTAATTATTAATTATTATTATTATTATTATTATTATTATTATTATTACTATTATCATCATTATTATTATTATTATCATTATCATTATCATTATCATTATCATTATCATTATCATTATCATTATCATTATCATTATCATTATCATTATCATTATCATTATCATTATCATTATCATTATCATTATCATTATTATTATTATTATTATTAATATTATTATTATTATTATCAATATTATTATTATTATTATTATCAATATTATTATCATTATTATTATTATTGTTATTATTATTATCATTACTATTATCATTATTTCATCATTATAAGGATAATCATTATTATCATTACCATCATTATTTTTTTATTATCATTATTATTATTATATTATTATTATTAATTACATCATTTCAGTTAGAGGTAGTAGTTCTTCTTCTTGCTATTATTATGATTCTTAT